TGATACTTGGCTCGTATTGAGAAAATCTTGTAGCGCTTGGTGGTGAGTCCTGCAGTTCCGGCCGGCAGCCGGGAAATGATGGCTACATTCAGCTTTATGAAAGAACGTACTGTATTAATCCTATTCAGTATAAATATATTTATTTTTTCATTTCTTACCTCTTACTTACAACTTTTATTGTGTCGATATAATTATCAGCTGAATGTTACACATTGCCCTGATTTTTTTGACATTGTCTTCTTTTTCCTTTTTAACTCGTGCTTACTTTGTGATAAAGGATTGAATTAAATGAATTGAAATTTTTCTGCTTTACAAGGTTTATCGAAAGGTTGATCACACTAAGAAATCTGCCTTCGTTCTCTGTAACCCATGAAAGTCAAAATAATATTAAACAATTCAGCCCGTACCGTAAAGAAAACATCACACATCACCATTACAAAGATCAACTAGATAACGCTGTTTAAGGAAATAATCTCTGTTTACACTGAGAATCTTACGATGTCCATAAATAGAAAATGTAGAGTTACTGTTTGTTAAAATAGCCGGTACATAATGTCACCACTCGGCTCCAAAGGGTAATCTTATTCTTCTCGTCTTTCTCCTAACTTTCAGATTCTTTTCCTCGCCTTTTCATTTCTTATCCATATTTTTTTTATTTCCCATGTAATTGTGTGGGGCCTGCCCCGTTAGTACATATCGTTGAGTGAGTGATTTTAAAATTAATATAACAAACTAATGTGAACATTCAATTCAGTTCATTTCTTTAAGTGTTTGCCAACAGCAAGAAGCCAGTAACAGACAAACACTGATAATACACACAATAATAATAAAATAATAATGAAAAAAATTACGCAAACATATTAACTAAACATATACTTGTGCACTTTTAGATATAACAGCGAAATACAGGCAAACACGATATAGAAACAATATTATACACAAAGAAAAATAAATGAAGAAATATAAATAAAAGCAAATAATCCACCTAGAAAAACACTAATATAACTGTAAAACTCTAAAGAAATACAAGGAATAAATAACCAAACTAGAACATCTTTCAAGACAACCTATCTAGATCATTTCCCTTATTGAGAACGTGCCCTCAAAGGAGACAATGTTTATGCTAAATACGTCCAAAGATTTACATGCGTCATTTGTAGCGATTACGCACCTGGCTGAAGGACTATGTCATAGCGCACTGCTCACACTAAGAGTAGAAAGCTCTCCTATTTGCTTCGCCGGCACACGTATACCAACAGCATCCATAATGGAATGGCAATTTATTTTGCCCTTAGAGACATTAACAAAGAATAACGCATCCAGATGTCGTCGTCTGGAATAAACATAATGAACATCATAAAGTGTTCACCTTATTAAATACTATAAATTGTATCTGCAACATTTTAATATGAATAATTTGTATTAGGATCTACATACACATTTCATCGCAGAAGAAACGCTTGGAAGTGTGATCTGTTAAATTTCGGATGCGATGCAAGTTCGCGTTGTAGTAATTTCCTTTTTGTGGCTCTGTGAAGGTGTGGGTTGCACGCTTAATTTCAACACGACCTTATTTTTCTCTCTGAATGAAAAGAACCGATCAACACATGAGCTCAGAGGTAATAAATATCTGCTAAGTATTAGGACAGGTCTTGAATTTTATGGACAGACGTATTAGAACAGTAGGCCTACACACGTGTTTACAAAGGTACCTTTGTCTTTTGCTTTATCCTCCGTTTACACATCAGCATATGGTACGAGGAGTAGCCTCTTAATGCGAACGAACAGTTGAGATTTGAGGTTTTCACGACGGTCAGGATTTTGATGTTTTCTGGCTTTTAGCGCCTTGTAGAATTGTAGGTGGAGCCAACAATTCGGAAAAACATACTATCAGTATCACCAATATCAGTCATCTGAAGACGGGAGAGAAATTTATTTCCGAAACGACACGGATATCAAATATGATTTAGACAATGGGCAATTTCCAACATAGAGTTCATATAATTTACCCCACGTAATAAATAAATTTTGAACCAACTTAGAAATATTTATGGAGCCGTGTCTGTGCATCTCGCCTTTGGAAAGTACTGCGCATTTGTAAGTTTTGCCGTCAATAATAGTAACATAATGGCTATGAGAACGTCTGAGGTTGGAGCGGTACCACTGTAGGAGGGGAAATTTGTGTTTGAAGATCTTAAAAATGGCATGGCGATGCACAATAAATCTCTCTACGAATAATTTTGAAATTTTCTGCGTGTTA